TTTTCATGTCTCAAAAAAATGGCATGCATGGCATACTTGCATAAAAGACAGTAGATGAGAAAATAATGCAAAGTGCAGTACTACATATGTTGGTTGGTATTAAAAAAAAAAAGGGAGTAAAGCAACTTTCAGGAACTCTCCTTATGGCTGAGAGAGGAAAGAGGGTGTTAAAATCCCTAGTACATTTGAGTCTTATAGCCTCTAAGTAGTAGGGGGTACAGCACACAACTACAGTAGGTCACTTTTCTTTCACCTGACTTTCCAAAGACAAAAGACTAAATGGAGCACTGGCAAAGGCAGGTGCAAATGCCATTGAAATAACTGGAAGCCGAATCCACTTATGCTAGGGCTGAATTTGGCTCAAGATGTTTGGCTCAAGATGTTTGTGAAGCTCTCAGACCTCACCAGGTTATGGCTAGAGACACATTTTATCCCTGAACTCAGAGGGATGGTTTGAAGACCATGTCATTCTGCTGGTGCCATCAGTTGGTACATCCCTTACAAGTGTTTGTAGAAGGATTTCTTTGTTAATTTGTTATGCTGCCACCTACACAGTCTTTTCTTACTTCCACAAGGCAGAATTTGACTCGGACTTGTTCTTGAGCCTCTTTCTTTGATGTAATGTATCTCAGAAGGCAAAGTTAAACTAAACATACCCATGGTTGTGTATACTTACTTGTGGTTCAAGCAAACTCTCACTAGGGTGACCAGACAGCAAGTGTGAAAAATCGGGACGAGGATGGGGGGGGGGGGTAATAGAAGCCTATATTAGAAAAAGACCCAAAAATCGGGACTGTCCCTATAAAAACGGGACAGCTGGTTACCCTCTCACTGAGCGACAAAACATAAGACAGGATTTAGTCACACCAGTATTTAAAAATATTAACAAAATGAACAGAAACAGTGTCCACTAAAACACTGATGTACAACTTAACTTGATCACTAAACGTATCTAGAGTCAAAATATGAACTCCCTTCAATTGGCCAACACAGATACATTTGAACCCCAGTAGCGTTGACCTTCAAACAGTTAATCAGAAGAACATCATCTCCAGAATGTATGCTATATACCACTGGGACTCTGTGGCAGTTCTCTTTCACTAGAGCTCATCTGCCAAGCTGAAAGCAAAAACCACATTTTCTATAACTCTGGGCACCCTCCAACTCCCTCTCCAACAATTTTTCCCCATCTCTGGTTATTTCTCCAGTCTAGGACTCCCGTCTAAAGATATACAGGAAGATACCCCTGGGGAGTTCTGTAAAATTTTAGTTATGTCAGATCCTAATGCTGAAAGTTTCAGGGTTAAGAGAACATCTATTTCTCAAACCATAAAAGGAATTTTAGATCACATTTTAAAATAAAACATGCACAATATTCCACATGCAGTATACTATTTTGTCCTTTTCTGTTTTTAAAAAAATTGCGTATTTTTCTAAATCTGGCATTTAAAACCCTTAAAAGTAAAGTGCTATTTAATAAAACTTGTAAGGGTATTTAGTAAGTGTACACACACAGTATCATAGACTAAACTTCACAATCAGAACATGATCAGAGAGCTAAATAAATCAAAACCAACCTGACTCCAGCTAGATTAACATCTGGCTGAGTTTACAGACCTGTGAATGCTTATAACATCAACAGTACAATACACCACATTATTTGTGCTGTTTCTATAATTCAACTTATTATCAGATTTAACCATGACATCATATAAGATATACACTTACACTAGCATTTACAAAGCTCTCTAGATACTGTATATATCTTTCATGTAACGAATTTAAAATTAATCAGATTACAAACTTTTCAGAGCAGGCACTATTCTGCTCTGTTTATACAGCACCTAACACAGTGGGTCTCTAGGCTCTACCCTAACACAGATAAATAGTAATCCTGACTGGGGCCTCAACACACTAGCCTAATACAAGCAGTACCAAACACTGAGTTTGTAACTTGTTACCAAAAGGTAGCTATAATCCTAGCATAGATAAATGATTAAAATGTACATTTTCAAGCTAAAATGCAACTTTACTAGAAACACACTCCAAACCCTCAGAGGATTCAGATGCTTTCATTCAGCACTTTTCAGATAAGTTATTGTATTACACAATTGAAATTTCTAAGAATAATTTAATGTAATTAGTATTACTTTAGTGGAAGCCATCAATAAAAAGGCATTAATGCCTTAAATAAATCTCATGTGAACATAGTTTAATTAATAAGATAATTGTAGGCTTAGACTCAAGATTCCAAAGCTGCAGAAAAAGCTTTAAAAAAATCTAGGTGAATTTATAAGAATAAAATATTTCTACCTTCATTTGATTATATTACCACCTTACATATTACAATGAACTGAATAGGTTGCATACTTTTTTTTAAATGTAGTACGCTTCACGCACAGTCTCTCAAAATACTCTGGTAAGAAATAAATGACGTTTTGCTGAGATGGATGACTAATAATGCACAAAGATTGAATCCAAAGGAAAAAGAAAAGAAAGTTGACTATATTAAAGATGAAATTAAGTATCCTTGCAGACAAGTTATAGGCGGGGGCAAACTATGGCCCATGGGCCACATCCGGCCCACAGGACCCTTCCCTCTGGCCCCCAAGCTCCTGCCAGGGAGCAGGGTCAGGACAGGCTTGTGGAGGAGCCAGCCCAACTCCCTGGCAGTGCGCTGAGCGGAGCGGAGGATAGCCCCTGGCCCCTCCCCTTCTGCTCCCCTCCCTCCCTGCCTCCCAGGCAGTCACAGGTCCCCCAGCGTCTGGGGCAGTGTGGCTGCAGCTCCAGCCATGCGGCATGGCTATAGCGCCGCCAGACCTAGTGCTCCAGGGTGGCACAGTCGGAGGGAAGGAGGCAGAGGGAGTTCCGGGGAGGTGTGGGGGAGGGGGGAAAAGGGGTGTTGCAGGGGAGGCGGTCAAGGGGCCTGGGCCCTTCTGCCGGGGATAGGGGTAGGGCAAGCCAGGGCCTCCCTCCACCCCCAGCATGCTTGACCCCTGTCCCCAGCAGCCAAGCCCAGACAGGGAGCAAGCCCTGCCCAACTGCCAGGGAGAGCAGCTAAACGAGCAGGGGAAACGCACAGGGAAAGGACTGAGCCCCCCTTTCCCCCACCCCACAGGTAACATGGGGTGGGGAGAGCAGGGAGGGTTGGATAGGGGGCAGGGGGGCAGTCAGGGGGTGGAGAGCAGGGGAGATTGGATGGGGTGGGGGTCCCGGGGGTGGGGAACATGGGGGATTGGCTAGGGGACGGGCGTCCCGGGGGGAGGGTCAGGGGGCAGAGAACAGAGGTGTTTGGATAGGATGCGGGAGTCCTGGGGGGAATTCAGGGGTGGGGAGCATGGGGGGTTGGATGGGGGTGTGGGTTCTGGGGGGCTGGATAGGGGGCAGGGGCCAAGCCACGCCTCGCTGTTTAGGGAGGCATAGCCTCCCCCAGCCTTCCCTACCCGGTCCTCCATACAATTTCTGCACCAGATGTGGCCCTAGGGCCAAAAAGTTTGCCCACTCCTGTTCTATGTTATATATAAAAGCTATAATTAACTGCTAAAAATTTAATTAAAAAAAAAAATCAAGAAATATTGTAAGTGCCATTTCTGCAGTAGAAGAAAAATCACAGTAATTCAATAGTTTGTTAAAAGGTATATTAATCTTTCCGCTGCAGAAATGCCATCTTACAAACCTTGAATGTCAACTTTGATTTAAAGTGGCAATTTGTTTCTGAGACTCAGTAAAAAAGAAAAACCCTTTGTTAAGGGTATTCTAACAAAAATAAACTTTTTATTATTGTTTTATTACCATCCTAAGTTAGAGATAAATTGAAACTTAAAAAAAAAAAATCATCTAACTAGCCCACCTAAGTTGACAACACATGACTGCTTTTTTGGCATGGCCTTAAAGAGACCTCATCTTGTAAATCAGCCTATAAATACACCTCTCCAAAATTAAAAAGGATATGACAGTGTGCTATCCAGTCCATCGTGGTGCTATAAACAGAACATTTCTTTTCTTTCTGAGTCAATGCACTTGGAGATTGCAATCTTGTGGGCCATATTATGACATTAAGTCAAATGCCTGCTTTGGATATCTGCAGAACTGCCCCACACCAGGGAGTTCTGAGAAACATAGCACAGCACAATGCTACCAGGAATTCCCTGGTATGTAGGTGGAACAATGCCCATCAAACTACCTTTCAGAGCAGCCAGAGTGCTCAACTACCCTGCCAGCCCTGTTGGTCAGTGCGGAGGGCAGGGAGAAAACAGGGTCAAGACCACTGCCCACATCTCAGCCCCTTCAAAATAAGGGTATGTCTACACTGGGAAAAAAAAAGGGGGGGGGGAGTGTGTTTTAACTCAGGTGGGCTAACTCCGGTTAAAACTGCAGTGAAGACACAGCAGTTTGGCTTTTAACTCAGGTTAGCAGTTTGAATTAACAATGTCTCTGTGGAGCTGGGAGTTGAGTTTGATCTGCTAACCTGAGTTAAAAGCTGAGCTGCCGTATCTTCTCCTCCCCTCCCCACCCCCGCCCCCCATTTCAGCCTGAGTTAGGAACACACTTCTTCCCCTCCACCCCCAATGTAGACATACCTTGAGTGAAAGGACTCCAACTCTTCCTGGCCCTGCACTGGGGATGCAAAGTTGTGGGGAAGCTCTTCAAGTCTCCCATAGCTACAATCTGGCCCTATATCTGACCATTTAATAAGGCAAATCTGACATGTTAGATTTTAAGAGGAACTAATTTCATGTATATTTAATGGTTTTACACTAGTAGTTAGAGAAATTACTGCATACGTGTACAATACACTGCAGGATGACATGAAAACTATATCTCTCTATCAATAGGAGGCCATAAAGATTCTGAATTGCCAAGGTTTACTGCAATGTTCTGGACACTAAGTTGAATGTGCCCTTGATACCAATGCCAATATGTTATTCTCTCTCTCTGTATTAGCCTATAGACTGAATACTAATATGTGACTAGCAAACACCATCAGCAAATGGACCAGTCTGTAGCAGTCTCCTTTAGAAGATTTCACACTATCAAGAATACAATATTAAAAAAAAAAATCTCATGCATTATAACAATTGTGTGCAGATGGAAAAAATCATACCTGACTTGAAATGTTTCATAAAAAAAATGAGAAGTCAGGGGGAAAAAAACAGTATAGTCATTTGGAGAGGTCATAGCTATAGAAATAACAATCATGTTAGGAAAGCTTTAACCATTAAAATGGCAACATAAAAAAACATCACAATTAAGGCTAAATTCATTGCCTCGCCAGTCCCTGTCCAAAGCCCTAGAAGCTACTAGAGAGAGAGCCAAGCTAGACCTTGTTGAGTCTTGCCCAATTCTTTTTTAACACAATTGTTTTTTCTGTAAAAGTCATAGCTTTATAGGAATCAACTACTCCTTTAACGTTTTGTTGTTTTTAAACCAAAGTGTTTTTAGATTAGGTCTGAAAGGTATAGTACCTTTCACAAATCTTTTACTGCTGTTTTTTACATTTTTTAATGCCATAAGTTACACTTATCAAAGAGAGAATGAGGGAGAGAACATGTATGGGAGACCAAGCTTTGGAAATGACTTTAGGACTTTGGGTTCCTGGACTGGCGAGTCCAACATCACCACAGATGTTATGCTCTGAGGACTTTGTTCACATTTCAGGTAAACAAGCATGTATCGTAGCAACAGTATTTTGTAAGATTCCAAGAAGTTGTAAGAATACTCACAGAAGCATGCTGCATGCGAAGGGAAAATTGTCCATACAGAGGGAGTAAGTACAATCCCTGTAACTCTAATTCCACCTTGGGCAAGAGAGTTCCTCATTACGTGCTCTTGACCTGAACTTGGTCAACAGGGATAAAAGCTCCTATGTTTTAAAAGTTTAAAAAAGTAAACACACCACACACAGCCAAATACATACCTAGTGTAACTCTGTTGACATCAAACCAGTCACATCAAAAATTAATCTGACCCACTGGCTATAAATTTACTCAGGTTTATGATCCTGCTTCAGTGGGTTATTTTTTCTTTTTGTTTGTTTTAATATATCACTTTTGGCCTAATTTCAGTTGCTGGGTTTAGTGTGAGGGTACTGGGTGGTGCTGGTGGCCTGTAATATACAGAAGATCAGACTATGTGATCTGGTATTCCCTTCTGGCCTTAAACTCTATGACTCAGCTATTAGGAAAAGAAAACGTATACATACTTACTTCACAGATAGCTTTCTTTACATAGAAATACCTGTATATAACATACTGGGCCTTTAGCCTGCTTCCATATTTAGCAGATGCAGAACTCAGCCTTGTCAATCACTGGCTCACAGATACACCACTCCAACTGCAAAGCCGGCCAAACTGAAATAACCCCACAACTATGATGAAAATGAGTAAAGCATTCATAACTTTAAACTATGGATATTTTCTATTGCAAAGTATGATAAATTTGTTATTTGCTTAGCTTCTGAACAGTGATCCCTTAATCCTATCCAAGGTCACTCAGATCTATGGGCCTTAATACTTAAATAAAGGAAATTTTTAGATAAGCACATATAACATTTTCTTTTTCTTCAGCACAGTAACCGCCACAGAACTTACAGTGGGGTTTTATCAGCAGCATGCAGCAAAGGAGACTAAATTATAGCTTAGCATATAAGTGAAATTGAAATAGCTATGCACAAAGGTCATTTCTTGATTGCCTGAGGCATTACAGCATGCAATACCATCCTCCCATAAAACAGTGTTCTGCACATCCGCTTTGAAGTATTTTATGAAGAAACATCAGGAAAACCAGGATGCCACCTCACTGATTTCTCCTAAAGCTCTGCAGTATGGAAGTTTGTTCACCTTGTCTGCAACAAGATTGGTAGATTTAAGGCAGGAGGGTATATCTGACTGACAGGTCTGAGTTCTGTCCCCAAAGCTGCGAGTAGGCTGAAAACTCACTGGAGAATCTATTAACATTACTATGCTGATGAAAAAATGTTAAAAAGGATAAAAAGAGCCAATGAGATTAAACAATAATTTGAAAACATTTTAGAAAGACCAAACCATAAAGAGAATGACTTTCACATCAATTGTCCTTTCTTGACTATTGAGTTCTTTTCATTACAGAGGAACAACATGTTATTATTCATCACCATTACACCACCTCAAAGTAGCTGCCTTCGTGACCTCAATTATTTTAAAAAGGCAAGTGATGAATAGTAAAACTGAAACAGCTATAGAACAGTTATTAAGGCCTCGAAATTTGCAGATTTTCAGTGAGTCTCAACTGAGCTACCGAAAGCAAAGTTAGCTGGTGACTTCCCTCTCTGGCTCAGCCTGTACACAGTAGACTCTGTAGAACTATACACTATGAGAAAGCACACAGTAGGGCAAAGAACAAGAGACTTAACACTAGGGTGACCAGATCGCAAGTGTGAAAAATAGGGACAGGGAGTGGGGGTAATAGGGACTGTCCCTATAAAATTGGGATATCCGGTCACCCTACTTAACACTAAATTAAAAGAAGAAGGCTGAAGGGGAAACAGGGAAATGGAAGCTTCCATCCCTTTACCTTCTTCCCCCAAAAACTGAGTTTCTCATGGAAGCAAAGGTTTAGACATGCAGTCAAAGGCTACGCCTGCAGTTGCCTGCACATTCAGCCCTGGAAACGGCCATGGCTTTAGTGGAGAGTGCTCCAAGTCTCACTAGAGGGGGGAGCTTCTCTGGCCTGGCAAACCCTTTGGCTAGAGGACCAATTCATTTGGCTGTGATGTATCTGAATACCTTGAAGCATTTCCTTGAAGCCTTGAGGAGAATGAAAAGAGAATCCATTGTGCTGAAGAATTCTGATTTCAGTACATCTTGAGGGCCTGAGGTCCAAAGTGTACCTGTTTTTTCCCTTCATGATTTTAGAATTGGGACAGAAATTCAGTAGTAAGATATCCCAGTGATGAACTGGGAAAATGCCTGTATTTCTTATGAATATTATGTGTGACTGCTTCCCTGTTTGAGTTGGTATTGCTGCCTATTTGAATTCATTAAGTCAAAGGAACCTGTAAGGGGTTGTTTAAAAAACCCAGCAGGAAAGGTAAAACAACAACAGAGATGAGACAGCTTCAAGCACACACCTTCAAAGGAGTCAAGGATAACAACACTGGACCATCAATTGGTGGGAGAATTTACCCACCTGACTCCAACACTTTATTTTTCCTATGGCTAAACCTGAGATCAAAAGACCCTGACCAGTTATAAAGGTACTCCAGCAGAAAGGGAGGGAGCCAAGGGAGGCTAGTCAGTGAAAAAGCAGACAGGCAGGGAGTATTCACTCAGAGACCAAGAGAGAAGACTGAAAGCAGGGACAGGGAATAAGCCAGACCTACCTGAACTATGAGAGAGAGATCAACTGGGTCATCTAGCAGCAGCACATCTTGCCCTAGAAAATTCAGGGGGGGGGAAGAACACCCACACATACAGAAAGCAAAAGAGGTACCTTATTTTTTGAGAGTGCAGCCAGGTTTGAGTCCTTACCAGATATGCCCAAAACCTTCAGGATGCTCTTTCAAGAACTGGGCTGAGCAATTAAGCTCACCTGGGTATGGGTGCATTATTGGACCCCGATTAATAAGACCTTGGCCTTTTTCACCCCCTGGGAAAGCTTCAGGAGCTCTGCATACTATTCCCAATCTTACCAACCTGTGGCAAAAATGACTCTAAATAGTACTTCAAATCTTTTTGAGGAAGGAGGAACAGAAAATCTTGCCTTGCTGTAACCACAAGTTGGCAAATTGCTGATCTGGACACCTAAGATGAACAGATAGTCACTAAAAACTGTGTGACACTCTAGACAACCAATTCTAACAAAAGTTTCTATTTTGCTACCTAGGGAATCTTTTTAGCTGTTGGATTCCTTGGGGATGTCGGTCTCTTTTGAGGAAGACTGTATTTTAGGATCAGAGGGGTAGCTGTGTTAGTCTGAATCTGTAAAAAGCAACAGAGAGTCCTGTGGCACCTTTGAGACTAACAGAAGTATTGGGAGCATAAGCTTTCATGGGTAAGAACCTCACTTCTTCAGATGCAAGTGCAAGTGTATTTTAGGAGTCTATTTAGGGGACGAGAGCCACTTATCTCCAAAATCTTGTAGGAGCTTATATGACCTCTCAGCAGATTTAGCAAACAATGGCTTGCCATCCGGAGAGGTGTAGGTGATCTCTGACTTTCCAGACTGAGAAATGAACTCATCTTGATTAATATCCTCCCCAGGAAAAGACGGAAACCAACACATCCAGCTTCTCTTGAAGGGCTTCAGATTTCATGGCTGTAAAGAGATGCTTCTACAGGCATTTACAGAACTCCTGAGAGACACTCATGAAGTCTGACCTAGAAGACACTTCTCCCTTCTCTGGTTCTGACCCAAGGTCTGCTGGGACAGTCACCAAAACTCAAAAGGAAAAGCATAGCACAAATGCTTACTGATCTTTTTACTAAAAGATAGTTTTTTGCCCCCCTCAATTACATCTCTGGAAAAAGTGTAAGCAGCCCAAGAGAAAACTCCTGGGAAACCACTCAAAGGGTCTTTAGGTCACCTTCTGTGAGCAGAGATTAAAGCCTCTTGGTAAGATTTGACCACCAGGAAGAATTTGTTGATACACTCAAATATTTCAGGATCCAAGGGAAAGGGCATGGGAAGAGTCACAGTGACTGCCTGGGAGATCTCTGCTTTCTTCATAGGTGAGCTTTTCTCCCCTTCATGCAAGCATGTATTTTGTACAACCCCAGAGATAACCTCAGCGCTGGTGTCTCCCCAGTGTGGAGGCAGATGTTTCTCACAGTCAGGGTCGTTAAGAGTTTTCTGGTCCATGAATAAAGCGCTACTTGCAAGAAACACAGTTGGTGTTTTTCCTTAGTCTGGGCATTCCACTTATTTTTCTCCTTCAGGGTGAGGGCAGATCATGCAAGACAAGCAAAACCACAGTGGCTGCAGAGGTCACCTTTCTATGTGTTGCTTCGAGTAAGGCAAGAATCGAATTGGAGAGACAGAGGAGGGAGCCCCAGAGACAAGGAAAATCTTAGATGGTGATTGGCTGTCAACTAACCTGACAGCAAGCATGCCATCACAAACTAAACCACAGGATGTATTGATTCTGATGTTAAATGGGGCTTTTCAAAATCATCTGTGGTAAATTATTCTTTGTACAGCTTTTATACAACAGATTACCTTGAATTCTGCAGTTCAAAGTATCGCTCTAGTGGTTAAATGCTGCTTACTGATGGATCTTGTATCACTTTTTTTTTTTTTTGGACTACTGCAGTTTTCTTACAGTTCAGCAGGACTATTTTTCTGAAGCTTCTGGGTGTCACGTATTACTAGAAAGCATACTTTGATCTTACGCAATTAAGGAAAGTATTTGAATTCTTCAAAGGATTCCGAAGCATGCCTACAGGTTGCTAGTTACAAAGTTAAAATTGCCAATCAAATTACATTGGTTTATCCTTCATGTGCTACATGGAAATTAACAAACTCCATCTAACACGCTTATGGTAGTAAAATCAGAAGATTTCAGAAGAGAAAAAACCCTGAGCAATTAAACTACTGAACAATATTTATTTAGTATTTAATCAACAGTATGTTTTTCTCCCTCTGAACTTAATTCACAAAGATGCATTTACCCAGGTTTCTAAAGGCTGTCTTAATATATTAAGGTAGGGATGCTTTGAGTGTGCACTTCTAAACAACCTCAACTCTACGCTGCTGTGACCACGAAGCAGGGAGGGAGGCGTGCGGGGGGGGAGGTAGATAACATGGCTTTAAAAAACCAGTTTAATCTGGTACCAGAAAAACTAAAATGCCTTATTCATAATT